ACACTGCTGGCTCATGTTCAGCCAGCTGTCAACCAGCACACGAACTTGTAAAGGTCTTTCTGCAGAATATTAATACTGGGACACGTATTTCGCGGGTCTTCCTGTGCCCACCCACATGCCACCTCCAAGGGTCTCGTGGCAGGGGCTGTGCCGGCACAGGTGTGCCCGTGGGCTGCTGGAGGCAGGTATGGGGCAACCAAAACACAGGCTCCCTCCACCTCCAGGACATGGAGGGTGAATCAGCCAGAGGGTGAACAGAAGGAGGACCTCATGACCCACTGTACTGCTGGAGGTCACTGCCGTGGGCTCCTTGGGCTGAGCAGGGCCAGCAGAGCCTCCCGGCTTAGCAGGGTGATCTCCCTCCTGCAGGATGCCTGGAGCGATGCCAAGGGGCAGCTCCACATGGACTCGCAGCAGGACTACCAGCTCCTTGGGGCTCGAAGGGCTCCCGAAGGGCTCTACCTCCTCTTCAGAAGAGCCTTCAGCACCTGCGACCCCAAGGACTACCTTATAGAGGTATGGCATCACCCTCACCCCGCTATAGCACTCCCCAGCCCTGTCCCAGCCCTGGGGCAGAGCTCCAAAGCCCAACCTGCATGGTTATACCTGGCCGGTGTTTTGTTTTGAGGACAGCATCAGGCATTTGCACTGTCTAGGGCAGAAAGGAAGCGTGCTACAGATGTCAGCCCTGGGACATGAGTAATGTTTGGCACGATCTATTTACAACCCTTTATAAACCTCTATAAAGTGTAGATTTTAGCTCGTTTGCATCATCCGCTCCTGTTAAGCATGTGTTAGGTCTATATAAATACCCTCCTGCATCACTCTGGTTTGCAGTCTGGAGCCAACTGTTTGGAGTGTTACAAAGAGGTGTTGGTGTTGTTCAACGGGAGGCAAAGAGGAGGGTTTTGGCAGGAGCCAGAGCAAAGGGACAGCAAATAGAGCTGCTGCGGTGTGCTTGTGTGTGGTTCGGTGAAGACTCTCCTGGTCTGCATTCACCGCTCCCCCATGAGACAGGATTTGGGGGAAATGTTCCCAGTGGGAATGTCGAAGAGCTTCAAGGTCTCAGCCATAGACCCTGGGTGGGGGGGCAGGAATCAGCACCAGGCTCATTTCAGATGAAAGCCTTTGGTGCGCAGGATATTTTAAAGCCAACGTGGGCACAGAGCATCCTTAAGTTTTTGTTGCTAGTTTTCAAAAGCTTGTCTTGTGGTGAGAAACGTCTACTGTCTACCAAAACATGGAGAGCCCTGGAGGAAAAAAAATCTGTGCGTAAACTGGGAAAAAACTTGCAGGTCTTTATTATCTGATCCTTTAAGAGAAAATTATTCTCTTTCCTTTCTTCCTTATCTTCTGTCCAGAGCTCACTGGGTTGAGCAGCACCTTCCTTGCTTGCAGTAGACTTTCAGCAGAGCTTCTTGTGGTACCCCCCCAACAGAAACTGGGAGAAAGAGAGGATTCTGGGGAGAAGTTTTGTTTCTGCTGTTCCTCCCCAGGCTGCTGCCTGTGGCCATTGCTGGAGCTGGGCTGCAGGGTGGGATGAACCCTGAACTGATGTGGTTGTTCCAGCCCAGAGCTCAGGGAGGGACAAGGGGCTCTGAAAAAGCAGAAAGGAGATGTTACCCTTATGGGCAGGGCAGAGGTGTGAAGGCAATAGCATTAACTTCTTAAATTTAAAACTGATGACATCTAGGGAAAACATTTCTGACTCTCCCAACTGGCAGGGAACCCTCTGTGATCACGTCAGCCACAGAAATATCCCGAAATCTGCAGTCTTTGTGGGACAGCCCAGCAAAGTGAGCTACTAGTGAAGTCAGGGTGGTTTCCCATCTGGGAATGGGTCAAAAGGCCCATTCCTGGATTCATGCCACCAATACTGGTGCCAATAGTCCATGCAGTTCACATTCCTCCATGAAAACTACCTGATACACTTTGTTCTCGCTTCAGGATGGCACCGTGCACCTTATCTATGGGATCCTGGAGAAACCAGTCCATTCCCTCCAAGCCATCAACATCTCTGCCATCCACAGGGGACTGCAGAGGGTGCAGCTGCTAAAGCCCAACATCACCGTCCCTGAACTGCCCAGCGACATGAAGACCATGGAGATAACGGCCCCTGATGTTGTCATTCCCAGCCAGGAGACAACCTACTGGTGTTACATGGCAGAGCTCCCAGACAGCTTCCCCAAACATCACATTATCATGGTAAGAGGCAGGAGAAGAGGGTTGTTTTCCCTGGTGCAGATCAGCAATTGCATTCACAGTCCGCCATTCTGCAAAGTCCATGTCTTTCCTTTCAGACCCATATGTCTTCCCCAGCATGGTCCCAAAACATCTCCCAGAGCCACCCACCAGACAGTAGCATCCACCTGTCTCCTAGAGAACCCAAAACCAGAAGTTTCTCAGCAGGAGGTGGCAGGGTGCTGACTTTCCACCTGGCACATGGAGCAAATACCAGGGCAGGCTCAGAGCTGACCCCCCGCAGAAGGCAGAGCTGTAGCCATCAAGGACAGACCCGTGGCAGGATTATGGCGCACAACAAGCCACAAGGAATATATAAACATGGGAAACAAAGGGACAGGGCTGGCGAGAGCAAGGCAGAGTGAGCCAGGATATGAACTGGCTTCTAAAAGATTAGGCATACTCAAAAAAAAAAAAAGGTTACAGACATAATACAACTTGTGTGCATTGCCCAAACATGTTGCACATGCTTGGGTCACCTCCCCTGGGGAAAGGCAGGCATAACACCAGTCTGACTGCCCATCACGAGCTGCTGGGACAGCATCGACCCAGCAGGCGCGGAGGTGGCTCGACAGATGACCTGGCACACCCAGAGTCAAAACCACACAACGGGGAGAGGGAAAACCTGACACAGAAGCCAAAGCGAGTGCTTAGTGATTTATAGGGGAGAGACAGTGTTGCAAAGGAAAACTCAGAAGGAGGATTTTCTCTCCAACAGATGGTGTGAAATGAATCATCTGTGTGTAAGTAAAAAGTGCGTAACTCCTGATACCTTCCCGCTGCTGCAGATCGTTTCTACAGCTGGCGCTTTTAGCCAGAGATGTTCCTCAGGCTTATTTGAAGTCACTCTTTCTACCCCAAATCCCACTCCCCATGCCCCGAGCAGCTGTTGGCTAGAAACAAAACCCAGTAGCTGCAGGCAGAGCTACCTCAACATGGCCAGGACCCTCTTTAGGAAAAAGCAATATCGCCAGGGTCACCTCAGCCCTGCAAAACTGGCAAAGGACTCAGTCACCACAAAGCAGACCAAGATCTTCTGCTGATCACGTGCATCATCTGTCGCTGGAGGAGGGATGAGATGTTTCTCTATGGGTTCTGGCGGCCTCTGGGTTGGTCCCAAAGCCAACCAAGAGCTTTTGACCCTTGGTGCCTCATGCCCAGAGCAACCTTCCCTTCCCGTCACGTGGCAGAAACTGTCTCCCATTCAGTAACAGATAGCAGACATACCTGCCTTGGGCTCCTCATGGAGCCTGCACAGGCAGCAGCCCCTGGGGATGGGCTTTCAGCAAATGGTCTTAATGTGTCCTCCTTCTTGGACACCGTTTTGCAGTACGAGCCAGTGATCACAGCAGGCAACGAGGCCCTGGTCCACCACATGGAAGTCTTCCAGTGCGCTGCTGAGTTCGACAGCTTCCCCCATTACAATGGGCCCTGCGACTCCAAGATGAAGCCAGACCGACTCAACTACTGCAGGCATGTGCTTGCAGCATGGGCCATGGGAGCGCAGGTGGGTGCAGGATGGGACCCACCGCCCTGGGTGAAAGCTTTGCTCCTGGGTGCTTTCCTGCTGCCTCCCAACCCTTCCCATTCCCACCTTGGGATCACGCCATGCGGGCTGCCCCAACCCTGGTCTCTGCTAGGATTTGTGTCCAGTCCTGTCTGAGCTCCTCTCAGATGTGTCTGAGTTTCCACCTCACCCCAGCCCACCTCCTCGGTGCCATAAATCGGTGTGATGCCCCTACTCAGTAGCTATGCCATTGCATGCACATGCTGGCATGCGAGACACCTTTGGAAGCAAGACCAGCTCACCAAGCACAACCAAGAGCCCAAGTCACATCCCTCAGCCCACAGTGCGGGTCAGGATTATGCCCAGACATTTCCCTTAGCCTTTTCAGCCTTGTCCCCAGGAAAGGCACCCCACCGCTCCCCTAACACCCTCCCTTTGCTTCCAGGCTTTCTACTACCCTGAAGAAGCAGGTCTTGCCTTCGGTGGCCCAGGCTCCTCCAGATATTTGCGCCTCGAGATTCATTACCACAATCCCCTGGTGTTCAAAGGTGAGTGGGCGTGTGGCAATGCCCATTGCCTCCCCAGCGAGACAGCAGCAGGGGAGCTGGGCAAACAACAGGCACTGCCACCTTGCCAGGGAGGGCTTCATACCGAAGAATACTTGGCCAAAATCATAGCTCTGTAACTTTCTAGAGACCCCATGGTCCAGATCTGCATTAGCAGGAGGAATATATTAAACCCCTACCATGCTGCTGCCTTTCTGGTCTCAGCAAAGTCATCCTCACCAGGGGCTGGACCCCATCCTCACGCATGCCCAGCAGCAGGGAGCTTTCGGGAAGGGAGCCTGGCTGAGCCCACAACCCCCCCAGGCAGAAAGCTGTCCCTACACATCATTCCTGCAGGGCAATGGTCCAAGGCAACACCATTATTTAGCTAGGCTGTCACGGGGTGTCCCCCCAATTTCTGTGCAAGGTGGTGGGTCTGAGCCCAGAGCCAAGAGCAACAGCAGTGCCGAAGTCACCAGAGAGACAGCACCAGCCTGACTGGCGATGGGGGAATTTAGATGTTGTTTTACTGGTACTCCTGCTTCAGTAACGTTGTCAGGAGACACATTAAAAAAAAAAAAAAAAAAAAAAGGATTCCAAACAACCCAGTTTCTTCATTTACATAAAAACAAGTGGCTTCTTGACTACCCAAGTATATTTTTAGGAGACCAGAGCATATGTACTGTAGATCAATCATAGCACATTCGGCAACTCGAGAAGAAACACGTCTATAAATACGGAGCTCACGTCTTTCATAATTTATCTGCTTTGGCGTGTTAACCAATAGTGTCTCCCCCGTTATTCTTGTCCCTGGTGGGCTCCAGCCCAGAGACAGAGGGTTCAAAGCCAGCCTGAACCCCTCCTGACCTACTGAACCCGCCCTTTCCCTTTGCTGACAGAGCTGGGTGGCAAATGGGAGCCAGAGCTTGGCTTTGCATCTCAGCAGAGCTCACTGCTGCCTCTGCCTGCCCTGTGGTCAGCATCTGCCGGGGCACTGGGTCTTCTCCAGCTCCCACCGCCTCCTTGGGGGAGGTTAAGTGGAGCAATCTCAAATGCAAGAGAGACCAGAAGCTTTCCAAATGCAAGGAGTACTTGCTCCATATGCATTTCTCTTCCTGCCAGGCCCCCAATAACAGCATAGCCTTCGTTGTTTGGACTTATCAGTTAAAGATGCAATGAGCCATATTTCTGAGGGACTTTTCCAAAGCACCCCATGATCTGTCCTCCTGCTTTGGGCTCTCCAAAGGCACCACTTGCCTCTCTTGGAAGCAATTCAACCTCAGGTCGGTGACCTCTCCAGGGGACCAGGCATGTGTTTGGGGCTGCTCAGTAAAGCCTTGCATGAAAATATCTAGTATTTTAAACCAATAAGAACTGCACACATGAAGAAAGCTGCGAGTGAGAGGCTGGAGCACCTCTCCTCACACCCACTGCAGCACAGTGTCATTTTTCACACCTGACCTTGTCCCGTCAGCTGTCACTTCTCCCACAGTGACTTGCAGCCTCATTCTCTTGCCCATCAGGTCGCCGCGACTCCTCGGGGATCCGCCTCTACTACACGGCCACCCTGCGACGCTACGACGCTGGCATCATGGAGTTGGGCTTGGTCTACACGCCGGTGATGGCCATTCCCCCAGGCGAGGACGCTTTCATCCTCACGGGGTATTGCACCGACAAATGCACCCAGCTGGTGAGTGCCCATCCTCGCTGCCCTGGCTTCGCCTTGGAGAACAGAGATTGCAAATGGTTTTTCCCAGATCCCAGGCAGCAGTGATACAGCACCAAGCTCTGGGCTCCCAATTCCCAATTAAAACTCCCTGAAACCCTTACCACGAGGTTGTGCTGGAAAGAAAAAAATCTGCTGTGTACAACAAACAGCGAACAGCTGGTTGGGATGTGTTGAATCCCCCTCAAAGCAGCTCTTCTGGGGAGCCATCTGCTCCGGCTTCCCAGGGTACCATTCCCATAAAACTTACTGCTGAGCTGGCTGTGCCCCAGCGGTGCTTTCCTCCACGGAGATGCTTCCAAAGACCTCTCCAGGAGCTCTCTCAAGTGTGTTTTCAAATTGCCCACCCTGCTCTCAAGGAAGTTTTAGTGGATGTTTTTGTAGGGCCTACCCAAAAGGAATCATTTGTGCCACTGCTAATGAATGCAAGGAAGCAAGCAGCATCCAGCTCAGCTGCTGCCATTGACTTAGGGCACAGCAGGACATAAACGATTTGGCAGCAGACTGAGCCTCCGTCCCTGTGCGAGGAGCTCACTTCTACGCTGTCCCAATGGCACAGCAATGCCCAAACCCCCGTGCGGGAGCCCAGCCCTGAGCACGCAGCAAGGGGATGTGCAGGAGGGAAGAGGGATGGGGTCAGGTACGGAGGCTTCAGCCATCCTTCCCCCAGGCTCTGCCCGCTGCCGGCATCCGCATCTTTGCCTCCCAACTCCACACTCACCTGGCAGGAAGAAAAGTGGTGACAGTGCTGTCCCGGGATGGGAGAGAGCAGCAGGTCGTGAATGCCGATGGTCATTACAGCCCTCACTTCCAGGTACAGGGGTCTGCAGGGGCAGCGGGGGGTCCCGGCTGGACATCACCCATGGGGTTGAGCTGGGCACAGCACCACGGCGTTGCTCTGATGCAGCCCCTTTCCTTCCCTCCCAGGAGATCCGCATGCTGAAGGAGGTGGTTGCAGTTTTTCCAGTGAGTGGCTCCAAAAACCACAGTGGCTTCCAAATAGTGCAAGACCTCCCCCTGACCTGCCCCCCTGAGACCCCCGACTCCTTTAGACCGCCTCATCCCCTCCACCGCCGGCAGCCCCTGCCCACGCACAGGCACCCACTGCCAGCTGGGACCTCCCGGGGGGCTGCAGGAGGACACGCTCCCCACGGTCCCCGGGTCATATCTGCCACCTCCTCACAGATGCCTTGGGGACGCCGGGGCCTGTCTCATATGGCACAAAACTAGGGTGTGGGCAACCGAACTGTGCCGGCAGCTAAATTAAGCATCTAATTTAGCTGGGCTTCCTCTAGCAGAGGGCGGCTCCTCGGGGAGTGAGGGCAAACTGTGCACACGCTGGAGGTGCCCCCTCCCTCCTTGCTTGGAGAGGAAGAAATTTGGCAGTGAATGGGGTGGGAGTGGGTGGTAAAACAGAGGCTGAGCGTGCCCTGGGGCTGCATGGGTGAGGAAGGATCCGGCTGCGAAGTGGGTGAGGAAGGATCCGGCTGCGAAGTGGAGGGCACCTCCGGGAGCTGTTGTGCTGCTCAAAAGCCTCAGCATCCACAGAATCACCGAATCGTTTAGGTTGGAAAAGACCTTTAAGATCATCCAGTCCAACCATTAACCTAACACTACCAAGTCCACCACTAAACCAATTAAGGGGAGAGTCATAATTTCATCTTTCCTGGCTTGGTGGCTGGATTATTTTTTAATGAAAGTAAAACTAGGAATGATTAAGGTTGGAAAGGACCTCTAAGATCATTAGTCCAACCATCAACCCAACACCACCATGCCCACTAAACCATAGAATCCATTGAAACCATACCCAAGGCTGTGCTCCGGGGTGTCCCCGCGGGCCCCAGCACCGACCAGGGAGGGGGAGACAGTTGTGCCATCAAGTCAGGTACAGGTTTGGCAATTCAAACTGTTGCCTAAGTGCACTCTTTTAGGTGCTTCAGCCCTGCAGAAATTCTTAGAAAGTGAGGAAAGCAGGAAACACCATCCCTGGGATACATCCCTAGGGACTCTCCCCAGGGTATGCAAATTTAGGAAGCACTCCTGCAGTACCGCAGCCGTCGCTGGCGGGGAAACAGGCTGCCTGCGGGCTGTCACCTCTACAGAGAGCAGAGATCTGCCATGTTACAAACTCCCCGATCCCCAGATTTGCTGATCGGAGAGGGGAAACTCTGCACTCGTCCACCTACACGTGTCTGTGTTCAAACCCCGCAGGGCGACGAACTCATCACGACCTGCACGTACAACACGCAGGACCGGAGCCGAGCCACCGTGGTGAGTGCAGGGGCGAGCTCGCCTGCCTGCGTGGGGCTGGCCCGCGTTGGCACCCCAGGGTTGGGGGCACCCGCGAAGTGGGCACCTGCGTGAACCCAGGCTGAATCACAGCCGGAAAACAGAGGGAGGGTGGTAAAGCAGCGAGCCCCCAAGGCTCTGCTGCCTGCAGCGGGGACGTTAAGGTGCTAATTGAGAAGTAGCATGTGTCACTTTAATTCCCATCACAAACTGTTCCACCGGGGATTAATTGTAATTAAAGAGAAGTGGCATTTTTTTGACAGTGCATGTTATTTTCTTACATAGGCAGCAAAAAAAGAGCCTGTCAGAGGTACCATCAACAGGGACAAAGCTAAATATAGCAGGGGAGTTATAGGAAAGCTGCATTTTAATGTAAATCACACAATCTAGCCTGAAAGTCTGTCCTTGCATAAAGGGCGGATGGGCAGATAAGCAGAGTGCAGCTGATCCCACGCACCTGAAAGGGTGCACATATATTATATGTACGTGTGTGCGTGTGCATGTGTGCACATACAGGCGTGAGCTTGGTGCCTTTGCAGCCCCTCTGCCCTCCCCGCTGCCTGTGCAGCCCTGGCAGGGCAGAGCCGGGCCCCGCTGCCAGCCTGTTTGTGCCTGTGCCGCAGGGTGGGTTTGGCATCCTGGAAGAGATGTGCGTGAACTACGTGCACTACTACCCCCAGACGCAGCTGGAGCTGTGCAAAAGCGCTGTGGATCCAGGCTACCTGCGCCGATACTTCAACCTCGTGAATAGGTACAGAGCCCCTGCACGGCGGCGCTGAGGGGAGAGGGACCATTGCAGAGCCCTTTGCTAGTAACGCTGGAAAAAAGTTTAAAAAGCGGGGTTTGAGGTGCTGGCTGTGCAGTAGGTATGCGGGGGCACTCAGGCAGCGTGGGTTTCAGGAGCCGTGGCTGCGTGCTGAGCACAGCCCTGCCCTCCGAGCAGGCAGCCAAACCCAGGGCTTTAAGGATGGCTGTGTAGTGAGAACCGCCGGGAAGGGAGAGCATTCCCACGGAGGGACTTCCCAGCGAGTCAGTGCATGGCCAAGTGCTTATATGCAAAATACTTCTTAGAAGCCAAGGCAGACGGCAAGCATCCCTCCCAGAGAAGCAGGCTGCAGCTCATTCACCCACGGTGAGAGGGGCGAGATGCTGACCTTGCTCGGGGTGTCCTACTCACGGGCAGTCCAGCTGGCCCCAGATCTTCCCCCGCAGGTGCCGGCTGCACTAGGCTCTCCCTGCTCCCAGTGCCAGCTTCGGAGCCCTTCCAGGCTGAGCTTTAGGCAGGGAGGAATTAGACACATCCAGCACTGCAAGGGGACAGCACTGCTGCGTTTCAGTGTGGCGTTTCTCCTGCCCCAGGTTTAACGACGAGGAGGTCTGCATGTGCTCGCAGGTCTCCATCCCACAGCAGTTCTTCTCCGTCCCCTGGAACACGTTCAACAGAGACGTGCTGAAATCCCTCTATGGCTTTGCTCCGATCTCGATGCACTGCAACAAATCCTCAGCCATCCGGTTCCCGGTACGTATAGCTTCACAACCAAAGCTTCACAGCAAAACTCCCGGCCGTAGGTAAAAAGCAGCTGGACAGAGCTGTGCCGCAGGGTGACCCCGACGAGATGGCTCAGGCCTCCAGCGTTCGGGACACGGCTGCACCCGGCGGGCTCAGGGCAGGGAGCTGGAGCTGCCTGGGGAACCCCAGCATCAGCAGGACACTGAGCCCAGCCCAACCCTGGCGCTTAAAACAACGGCACAAGTGGGTGGCCGGATTCAATTAGGAGATGCATTTGCATAAAGCGATTTTGAGGCTGCTTTCACTGAGCGTTAAAGCAGGGCTAGCTCCAGAACCAAGGAGAAAGGTGAGGTGGTTTTTAGGATTTTGGCAAATTGCATCAGGTCCCAGCAGAGCGAGCCCATTACGCACAGCATCTGTGCAGTCTCCAAACGTGGCGATCCAGCAAAACATGAAGGATAAAGGGCAGTGAGATCTTTAAGGAAAAACCAGGTCTAGTGATGATGATCACGACGATGACAGCGATGAAGATTGAAAACCGCTGATGGTCCCTATCACCATCAGCTCCCGACACCATTTCTCAGTGTAATAAACTTACACGATAGGCTATTTCTGGATGCAGCGCTATCCACGGCAGCACCAGAGGATGCCGAGCTGATTGCAGGGAAGACCATCAGCTTTCTGCCCTGGTAAAGCCCCCTTAGCAAAGTCTGCTCTGGAGGGGTCAGAAACCTTTCCAGTTCCATGGAACTGGCGACCTGGCACCTCTTGACCATGCAGAGCTCCGCTGCAGGGACAGAAGCGGTGCAGAAGTTTTGTGCAGCAGCAGAATTATGAATTACGCCTCTTAATTACGGCCCAAGCAACTCTCTTGATTTCAGAGAGGCCTGGGGAGCGGCCAGGAAGAGACTCGAGTGGAGCAGAGCCGATGCCAGCACAAAGTGGGTCACGAGCATCGCAGCAAGGGCGAAGGAGCCGAGCTGCCCCCCCCCGCTCTGCTGGTGTTTTCAGAGCGAGCCCGATTTTAAGACATCTCATTTATTCCACACTGTTTTCTGCCAAGAGAAAAGCACCAGCTTCTAATTAAGCTCGTGTTTTTGCAGTTCAGCGAACCCCAACTTGACGAGCTTTCTGGAAGGATTGAGCAAAATCTCAAGGCAACACTTGTGAGCAGCTGCGGGGATGTCGCTGTCCCCGAGTCCTCTGCACCTGCAAGGGCTCGCAGTGAACTCGCTATACTCTCTACTCAAAAGCACTGAAAACAACACCTATCGAGACGCTTCAAACACCTTTGATCTACCCCAAAAGCTGGCGAGGTGCGAGCACAGGGTTTGGGACGTGTCGGCAGGGCAGACTGCCGCAGCAGATGGGCGCAGGGCTGGGGCCGAGCCCTGGAGCAGGCGCACCCTAAATATGCTTAACTGCCCTCTTAAGCCATAAGGCTACAGGAAAACAGTCGTTCCTCCAGCTGGTGCTTCCCTGCAATGCTGTCCCCTCTCCAGTCGCTCCCCATGTGCTTTGGGAGGGCCCCTCCATCCCCCTCCACCTTTCCCCAGGGTTTTCCTGGTGTTGGTGCAGGATCTGGCCCGTTTCGCTTGACACACTACACGGAATTTCAGCTGAAAACATAAATTCAACTTCCATCTTCTTGCTGATGACTCACGGCTCTACCTCTCCTCTCCAGGCCTCCCTCCTCCTGCTCACGCTGCAGCTCAGCCTCTTGCTGACATTTCCACATGAGCGCGCAGCCAGCAGCCAAACCGTTGCATCGCCGAACCAGCGCTCAGCCCAGACTGAGCCCCTTTTCGCCTTTGCAGCCCCTGCCTGCGTCTCACCCGGCCACTAACCTGGACCAACACATCACGTCTGAGCTCGATCCTGCCCGGCGGGCTCAGCCCCCAGCACTGCCTGACTCCGGCAGATTGCTCCTTGCAGGGAGCATCCCCAAGACAAGGTGCCCCCATGCATGCATGGAGCTGGGGGTTTTGTCCTGGCCGTGGTCACCCTGATGGCTGTGACAGCCCTTCCCCGGCTCTGCCCCACACCACCTCATCCAGACCGCTGCATCCCTCCCGTTCCATGCCATGTTGAAATCCATGCCAGCACACTGCAAATGTTGCCTCCAACCAACCTTCCTGCCACTACCTGCTAGACAGCGTTCTTCGGGGCCGGGCTGAGAGCACGGTGGGTCGGTGGGACTCCCTGGTTTGAGTTGGCTCCATCTGATTTGGTGGGTGACACTTTTTTGGGGCGGAAGCTCCCTAATTGTGGTGGGTTTGTGCAACGTGGTGCACCGCAGACATCTGCGCCGCTAAGGGGATGCGTAGGTGCTTCTGCAATACAAATAATTAGCAACGTCTCAGAAGAAAACATCCTGGTTTGGGCTAAAAACACTTCAAATATTAAAGATCATTTCATTTTTACAAGTAGGGAGAAACACAGAGTATCCAAGTAGCCGAAACCCCGACTTGCGCCTCATGGTGCCGATCTCTCTTGCAGGGCGAGTGGGAGAAGCAGCCGCTTCCCACCATCACCAAGAGGCTGCGGGAGCCCGTCCCTCGCTGCCAACCTGCCCCGGAGCCTTGGCCTGCTGGCCCCGTCCCCCTCGACCTGGGCAAGCTCAGGAGGGACTGACCCGATGCCCGCTCCCTCCACCACGACAGGAAGCCCCTCCGGGCAGGAGCATCCGCAGGGAACGTCGTCCCCTCGCTCTCCCGGCATACCTGCCTGCACAGCGATGCCGGATGGTGCCCTGGCCCCTGCCTCCGGAGGGGGTTCGAGCTTATGAGCTAGAGTTCAGAAAGTACTCTGGAGCTGGAAAGTGCTATATTTAGTGTGTTATTAGCAATCCTGGCTCTGAGTAATGCTGCTTTCCGCCCCCAGAATAATAATGTAGAGGTTTGCTATTGTGTCGAATGCAGCGCGGCCCCGGGGAGGAGGGAAGAAGCTTGTTTTCCTGCAGGGAAACTGAGGCACAGAGCAAAGATCTGCGTGGGAGCAGCACACAAGCTTTCCCAGTGCCCCACGGTCCCATCTAGCTCGGGGCAGCTCCGCGGGCGCTCTCCCACGCCAGCACCCGCGGCGGGGATGGAGGCAGGGATGGAGGGAAGGAGGGAGGGAGGGATGCCATGACGCCCCCCCAGCGCTCGCCCCCCCGCTGCAGGGACTTCGGCTCCCCGCCGCGCTCCTCCTCCCACTCCCCCGCGCTGGGGATTATTCCTCTTGACACCACCAGATGCCAATGCCGGGGAAGAAATGATACCTCTGTGATAGGGTTTAGAAAGGGGGAGGGATGGGGGGAGAGACACGGAGACACGGGGCCGGGGGGGGAAAGACAATCCTTTTGGCAGGAAAAATGACTCCATTAAATACCTAAATGTAAAAAAAAACAAAAGAAAAAAATTGCTTTTTTGCTGTTGAGATCCAAAGGGAAGATATTCAGGAGGAAATAGCAGAGGAAAGGCCAGCGATGCTGCAGGAGAGCCCGTCCGTCCCAGCTGGGCGCCTGCCCCTCGCTGCCCTGGGGCGAGTGGGATCCAGGGCAGGGTGGCAGCCGAAATCTGCCCTCCCGGCCACCTTGGGTTTAAGAGAAAAATCCCAGGTCAGAGCACTGCGGATCACAACGGCCTTTTTGAAGCCAAACACTATCTTCGCAGGCACGCGGCGGATCCCTGGCTCGGTGGGGAGGCAGCATGCTCGGTCCCTCATTTCTCCCCAGGACAAACGGACGGGACCGCGGCCACCCCCTCCTCTCCCTCCTCCTAAGCAGCATTGGGGAGTGCAATCACCTCCTATTCAGACAAAACTTCATCCCAGTCTTGGTTTTTAACATTTCCAGTAAAACCAAAGCATTTGAGAGTTCAAACTCTTGCCCGTGGCGCTTGTTGCACGAGGCTGAGGAATTGAGAGCAGCTCTAAAGAGGGTATAAACCAAGCAAACCTAGTCAAGGGAAATAAAGTGAAAAGCATGCAGTGTGATTATTTCTTCAGGCGGGTGAAAGCTTCAGCAGAGATCAGGCCCTCGCTGCGCCGCTGAAGATGGAGCCCGGCAAGGGGACCAGAGCGAGGGACAATTACGGGGATGGGCTGGGAGCAGCTGTCCCTTCCCTTTAGCAGCGGAGAGTTCATGGGCTGCGTGCATGTGATGAAAAACCTTCCCTGACGCCTCCGAGACCGGCTCTGCGCTGCCGGAGGCTGCGGGGCTGGCAGCACGCAGCTCAGGCTCTGCACGCATCCCCCTCTCCGTCGGGAGCTACAAGGAGCCACCTCCAAGGTGACCTTTGGGAAGGTGCCAGCAGAGCAGATGGGATCATGGAGCAGCCGGGGGCCAAGGGCAGCCCTGGTGTCAGTGCCCCAGTCAGTGAGGTTACACCATGGCGCTGAGCTGGTCCTGCCTGCGCTGGGAGCAGCCCAGAGAACACACAAACACAAATTGTACCAGCAAAGCAGCCACGGGCCAAAATGCATTCATCAAACTCTTTTTCCTTCTCCTCCAAATTCAGAGGCTACACATGCACACATAGCAAGGACCTAGATCCTGGTGGCACTTGCCTTCGGGAGTTGCTTTTATTCTCTGGGGCACGACACAAGAATCTCTCCCCAGTTAAACATCAAGGGGCTGCACGGCACCACTGCGTTTTCCTCGTTTCAAACCCAGGGGCTGGCGCAGGCTGGCAGCGCTCCCTGGGTGCCAATGCGCTCACATTGCCACGGCCAAAAACTGGGACTTGCCTTTACTCTCACCCTCCCACAAATGGACAAGGTCATCGTTCAGGTCTGGGGAGGATCGCCCCTCCCCGCCTTCCACGCAGCCATTGCACACTGAGCACCACAAACAAACTCGAAGCAGGCACTGAACGTTTCGCACCCCAGAGTTGATTTTTTTTAAAGGGCCTTAGGTGCTGAAGGCAACAGAAGTCGGCGCTTAAATTCCCTCTGAACTTTGGAGCCACAAGGAAGCATTTTGCCAAAGCAGGACCTGAAGCTCCAGCTGTGACAGGGGCAAGATGGGATGGACGGACAAACCTGTGCTTGTAGAGATGGGAAGAACATGCCTGGAAACCCCCCTGGGTAAAGCCAACAACTTCACGGTGCAGAAGAACCCTGCAGCGGGCAGAGCACCCACGGCGTGAGCCTGGGCAATGGCCCTGGGCCCCCCGCCCCTTCCCTCCATGGCCCCCCCGAGCACTCCCACCCCAGCACTGGGTCCCCAAGGCACAGCCAGGACAAGGTGACACCCGTCAGAGCAGGGACGGATGCAGCAAGGGACCAGAGACACGGCAGGTTTGGAGGCTACAGCTGCATTAACAGCAGAGTTAGTTTGAAAAATTCATTTCCAGGCAGCGTGAAACTACATTTTGGGGGAAAGGGTTTCCAGCACAGTCAAAAACTGAAACCACTTCATTTGCAGTCGAGCAAAACACTGTTTTCAGGCCAATTAACCCGTGGAAAAGAATTATTGCTGTAGTGGTATTGCTTCATTTAGAAAACAGAGCAACAAAATCTTTGGACTTTTTGGAATCTCTTTCTCCTCTTCCCCTCTAATTTGACCCAAATTTGCTTGATGAGTTTGCCGCAGACGTTTGCCCGGCTCTCCCAGCAGACCCCGAGCCAGCTGAGGCACCCAGGGACCAGGAATTCAGCCGGCAGCTCCTAATGGCAACTTCCCTCTCCCATCCCAGCATCCGCAGCGCCCGCTCGCCAGCCCACGCTGTCGCACTCTCAGTAAAAGCCCTTCACTCGCTTGTTGTCCGGGTCGAACGGGGACTTGGTGTGCGCTCGGGCAGGGTAGCTCACTCCCATCCGCTCTAGCTGGTAGCTGCCGCTCTTCACGGA